TCAAATTTTAGGTCTTTAGCATTAAAAACCAAGGACGTTCGTACAAACCTGTAGTGTCTAAATCTCATGGCTTCTAATCGTAAACTATCACCCGACCAAATTTTATATTCATAGGTAGCTGAAAAAACAAGGAATTATTATTTGTTAAGCAAACTTATTCTATTAATACTACATTAATAGTACTTTCTATCGTTGGTGGGGCCAAAAAAAAGGAGTTCGTTTAAAAATGATCCTTTAATCCGTAACTATACTTCTCACCGGTTTACGTCAATTTTTTTTATGTTAGAGGGGAAAGACGAGCAGACGGGTCACCTGATGGAAAGTGACCATCGCCGCCCATGAACGTCTGCAGCTCAGGAGTCACAAACGCGTTGCCGGCCTTTTAGGAAGGAGTATGATCTTTTCTAGAGGGTTTGAAGGTCGTATCTGTCCGGAAATACAGTAGGTAAGAAGGAGACTCATAGTTGCTTTATACGGAATACAGAATTTTTCTCACGCTCAAAGTGCAATAAGCAGCTTTCGCGTTTTCGTTCGCCACAAAATGGAACGAAATACTTTTATGCAAGGTACGTTGTAACATTTTCAGATTTTAACCGCATAATCCTACAAAACCCAGACGTCCAACCTTTTTGAAAAAATGTGAATGAAATAATAACTTAACTAAATTTCTACCTAACATTCCTTTCATATGTTATATGCAATATACAAACAACTACCTTTTGTATTATTTGCGTAGGTCAATATCGCAAGAGTCTGTAGCCTATGGTTATCAGACAACCGATCAGATTCAGACATCTGACCCACAACTCCACCTAGTTTGAAACTAAACAAAGCTTGTACTATGAAAGCTAGTTTGACTGGTAGAATACTTTTATACTTTTTTTTGTAAATACATACTTACTATTCATAGAAAGCACCCAAACTCTGAAACAAATATTGTTGACCCGGGAATCGAACCCAAGACCTCAGCACAGCAGTCGCATACGCTACCACTGCACCAAAGAGGCAGTCACAACTGATAAATAAACTTATACATTTCTAAATACATACATATCATACATATTATAGATAAACTGCAATCAAAAACAGAATAAATGATCGTTGTTGTCGGTTGTATCAATATACTTGCCAAAATTTAAAATGAATAATTTAAGACTTACCTATCAAATTAACAAATTTTAATACATAAACTTTCTCATTGGATCAAATTAAAATATTTTTCGAAAAACGCCGTAATAGAATATTGTAGTCTAAGTTTATGTAATATTTTAGTGAACTGTCATGCTTACGTCATATAAATTTTGTAAGAAATGCTCAAAAACCTTCAAGTGCATTAGAGCCTTCGCGATGACATAATGCACGTAACTCTTTAAAAGTGTCAAACATTTCCCTGGTACTAGGTTTGAAAATTCATTGCGTTTCAAGAATTAGTTTGTTAGTCCTTGAGTTATACGCTCTGCAGTTTACATCGACCGCCTCTGTCCTATTTAGTTTAAACAGTTATCCGGATGTGGAGGTCGAGGCCCTGCGAGGTGCTTTAGTATATGGTCTAGAAAGAGGAATATTTGATATTGTATGCACACACTTACGATGCCAAACAATGTAGAATTCTTGTTGCCAGAAGCTAAGCTAAGCTCTAAGATTATTCATTTTGCTGTTATAACTATTTGTACGATTTTGATTATTTCTAACTTGAAATTTTTCAATCCGTGTTTGTATTCCTAAATACACTCTGATTTCAAAATACTCTTTTTTAACTTCAGAGTGTATGCTTCAATTCCTTTTTCGACTTTCGCTTTCGAATTTCTATTTACTCTCCTGAATTATTCTTTCTTTTGCACAAGACATCAACAGCAAAGCAAATTCCCTAAGTCGTATAATATCATCAATGTCAGACCGAATCAAATTAAATTACAGTGCCCATACGATAGTATATGGTACATATACTTACTCCAAGGTACGTATGATTCGGACAGGCGACAGTTCGGTCCGTAACGACATTATATGGCTACTCTGGCATTCTCGGACTGAACAATTGAATCACGAACTCTACGCAAGCATATAGATCCTAAACCTGTTACATTTTTTGCCTTATATCTAATTTAAATACAATGTCAATTTGATTTTATAGGTATTTTGATATTATGTAGAACCGATGTTTCTGCTCCAATAAACGGCTCTCAATACCCAATATTTTCTCTTATGCGTGAGTTCGACATTTAAGATTGAACGATTTTTAAGAAAAGGTGAAATTGACCTTTTTTATTTGACTAAATTTTTTATCAATATACCCATAGTGATTTTCAAAGCAATTTATTTTCAAAGCAAATTAGTAACCAAAGTGTAAAATAATCATACGATTAAATCCTTATTCATTTAATATTTCCTTATTTTTAAACACCACTTACATTTATCGATTATACTAACGGCTCTTAAACTTGCGAAGGAGAAATTAAACTAAGTCTCCACAATCATTGACATCGAGCTAGTTTTATAGCTGGGTCATAAAATTTTATAGGTGTTGAGGCAGGGTCTGGTCAGTACCTATTCACAGATTATTTTAGATGGCCATGAAAAAGATGGCTCACGTATGGCTACACATAAGGAATTAATTAAAACTCTAGGACTGCAAGTGTGTATTTTAGATGAGTATTTACAACTCAATGATGGTGGACCTGAGACCTCAGCATGATAATAATATACAATAAAAATACTGTAGTAGTAAAGACATAACATATTAAATACCTACAGAAGTCCTTTAATATTAGTAGCGCTGTAAGTCAGACAATTAGGTTACTATTATTTTTGTTCGTCTACAATACTTAGAACTTGGCTTCAATAGCATACTAGGTCGGATTCAAAGTTTCTTAGGAAACATTACAAGCTTTTCCTCAGAACTCAATGAGGACCTTTTTGTACTGCTAACTGACACAATAACAATAAACCTTTTTATATTATGCCACTCACTAATCTTAATAGAAATCCTTAGCCATTACAACTTTTTTTTCTTCTTCTTTAAATATAATTTTTGTAAATATCCTGTGTCGTGGGGGACCTTACAAATATACATGAAACGGATACCACGAACACCCAGGCCCAGAACAACATTTTGTGGATCAGACAAAGTATCGTCCCAGGTGGGGATCGAATCCACAACAAGCAAAGTAGTAGTAAGCGGCGGGGCCACCCCTTATACCACTACGCCATCCGTGTAGACGTGTTATAAAGAAAAAAAAAGCTAGTAAAGAATATACAAGGTAAAGGTCTCCAAGTGATAATTTTAATACATATATATATTTAACATGATATAAACTTGAATTATAGCAAAACACTATCAAGTGATTTTTGGAAGGTGTGATGTGTCACAGCCAGACATAAGTTAAATGCTTCATGGCTTAAAAATACTTTGATCCAATATTTAACGAACCCTCAATTGGCTATCGCCGATATACTAGGTGTTACTTTCACCATATTCCTATATGATCCGTACAACAAAGTGCGCAAACCTTCAATTTCTTCATTCTAGTTTTTAGAGACTCGCAGTACCTACCACATGTGATTAAGACTTAAGCGCCAAAACTACATCATTCCATTCCAACATTATTATCCTCAGGAGAATTATAGCGACGATGTGAAGTTTCGCTGACATAGCCCTAGACAACTTAGGTTGATTGAAGTAATAACAAAAAATGATTTTGTGATTTCTTCGTTAATCTGAGTGATAATATTAATAAGATATGTGTTAGTATGTGCAACTATTTATATTTTATTTCTTTCTCTTATGTTTACTAGTTTGTATTTATTAGGAACCCTAATCTCTACAAAGCATACCAACAAGATTAGGAGTTTAGGATAATGGGTAGTCTGTTCCGGAAATGGTATAGTAATTTGTCTACTCTGGCGAGAAAGACGAAAACATGAGTGTAGACAGAGCAAGAATCGTTGACCTAACCTAAAAACTACTTTAGAAATAGCTACAATTGTCATATCTTCTACGCTTTTTATAAATTCAACATACGAGTATTGTTATTCAAGTCATCAACAGCCTGTAATAGTCCACTGCTGGACATGGGCCCCTCCTTAAAAAGGAGGTTTTTACCTACTATACCATACTGGCCGGACGAGTTGGTATAGGGTTTGTGTCAAGTTTTCCTTCTCTTTGCAGTTATGTTGTCCTGCATAGTTTTCTCTCTTAGTCGGCTCTTGCGACTCCCACAGGATGAATGGGGGTGGTGACACTCCGTATTCTTAATCCGTCACCACACGGACATATTATATACAAGTAATATGTATGTATTCCGATACCTATATTCGGATAAAACATATTTATATCCTTCATAAAAAATATATTTACGATCCATGTACCCGATCGAGGAAATATCAACATACATAATTCACCTATAGTACCTTATACTGTTACTTATACTGTTTCGCAATGTACCCTCGCTACGGTTTCTGAGAGCAACGAAGGAAAAGCATTCATCAGAGTGATTTATGTATAGCATTAAAAGTTATAGACTATTAATATCGATCTCCTCTATTTCATACGATATATTAATAGTTTGTTAGTTTATCTTTTGTTCACGATTCGTTAAGAAATTTATCGACAGTGCTAAGTTCACTAAAATTAATATTTGTCTTTAAAACAAAGAAGAAGATTTGCAGTTCGTCGGAATCTTTAATTATTTTATTGTGTAATAACGGATTCCTAGAGGAATCCAGGGAATTATTCAGTTATTTTAGGAATATCTATGGTGATTTGGGTATTTATTATAGTATCTCGTGCATTTCTTTTTTGGAGACCATTATTTGTCGTGTGAGGTGTCGTAAGAGCCGAATAAGGGATCAAACTGTAAAAAGAAGGAAAACTTGAAACAAACCCTACACCAACCCCTCTGGCCAACATGGTATAGTAGGCCAAAACCTCCAATTTAAGGAGAAGCCTATGTCCAGCAGTGGACTGTTAAGGGCTGTTGATGATGTATTTCTTTTGTTGACAGGATAAACACTACTTGTGCATAATGGCATCAGATTCTCCTGACCAAAATCTGACGCAATACTTCAGCCTGTGCAACGACTTTATACACGCGGCAAGACTGAGAGATGGCAACGTTTTAATACATTGGTGAGTGATCTATGACATTAAATTTGGAACTACCAGTTAGATTTAAATTCGTGTTGAATTCTATACCTAATTCAAGAGGCAGATCTAATTAACGTTAAGCTTTGACCTAAACAAGCAGAGCAATGTCTGAAACTGAGGGAAATGGCTAGAGTTATTTAGAACATTCCAGAAAATAGATCGTAGGAGTTTATTGCATCGCCTTTAACATAAACAGCATCGATCTGCACACGCTATATTTAAGTAATCTCTATATATTTACATATAACCATGATTGGTGACAATAAAAACGTTCTTGTAAATAAAAGATGACCCGTATGCTCGTTTGCCCGCTATATAATAAAAAAAATTATGCTTCGAATTGTTTTAAAGAGATTTATTTCTTACGGCAATAAAGAACACTTATAGGTTTCTGACCTTTGAACGTATTGTTTTCCACCGGCCAGTTCGTGCAAAACAAACAATAGCTTTGTATTAGCCACACTTTGATATGTCTAATCGTATACATTAAGGTAAAGTAGGTAAACAAGATGATGTGTTTCGTTATATTTACAGTATATAAGTCAAACACTTGAATAGTACCTCCGACGTAAACTTAATATGGGTTTCTTCTGTTGTTATTAAAATTTAAAAGCTAAAGGAAATTCCCTAACACATCTACCAAATAATCACGGAATCTTCAAAACCACTTCACCTACTGTCTACTTTAAGATAAAATTTGGAGGTCAGAGAATAAGTGAGCTTAAATAGAATTGCGACAGAGCCAGATTAAAGACTTCTAAGAGCTCTTGCGGATTATATGAAAGACAGTGTTTTTTTCTAGTAGAGTAAAAATGTAATTGGCTACAAAGGTATTGCATATGTAAGATCCATGATTTTAGAACGTTTTTGCAATTTGGCCATGTTGAGGAGGTCGATGTTATGTATGGAGGATGATGTTATGTAGGTTAGGAAGTAGTTTATAAATACATAACGTAAGTAACGGTAGAACAGATTTTGAAACAGGATCAGATTTAAGAGGTTTAAGGGCACATAGAACCCAAGGGTTTTATATAAAAGTCCTGGGTTTTAGGTACAAGAGTAACATTTTTAAGCTTGTCAACAGGGTTTTGTGTTTTTGGCTATTTCTTTAATTTTTCAGGTCATCAAATACATATTTTTGAGGATCTGCTTTACATTTAGGAGAAATCGATTAATCGTTTTTTTTTGTTAACTTAGGTTAACAATTGTTCAATTCCAATTAACAGTATAATATATTGCCTTAGATCTGTTTAGATCTTGTCATTGCATTTAATTTTTGCAGATACGCAAAAGTAAACATAGTGACAAAAATCCAAAAAGGTTGATCCAACAGTTGATGGTTTCATACTTATTAGTTGATCAACTCACAAAACAGCCAGCTCTCTGTCTCGTCTGTACTTCATTTTACTGTAATTTCGAATATCAAACTATTGAATTCGAAATTACTTATCGTCAATCGTAAGTAGGTGCCTTAAATACATTTTAACCTTAAATATTCACACAGATTTCCTATTAACTTACAAGCTTTGTGTGAAAACCCAATGCCCGCCGTAGTGCCTATTTCCTTTGCTGCAAAGAATGAGTTACCAATTTTCGTAATACTTACAAAAAATACACCTCCCGCTCGTATTTCATTATGCCGCACCTTTGCCCTATTTTTGCGGCAACGATTTAAAGGTAGGGGGAGTAGCATAACTTAGTTTTCGATTACCATACATGCCGGGCATGTTGTAATTCACTTCAACCGTTGCCATATTAAAAAAATATTTTGAGAAACTGAACTGAAACTAAGAATTTGTTTCATATTTCTATCTATTCTACAAATATTTGATTCCTTCTATGTTTTTCATGGAACGGGTATCAAAGCCTCGTGGAAAGTTCTACGGCCGGGCTACAGAGATAATTATTCGGTTCTTAAAAAAACAACTGTTGCTTTCTATTTTTGTAGTAGTAATATAAATTTCATGATAGTTAATGCTTGAGGATTTTTGCTAGAAATATAACCACCTAGACCATCTAGAGAAGTAATTATAAGAAAGAAATTGAGAGTGTTTATCGGTAACTCTAATCTTTCTTTATTTTCTATCGTATTTGATTGCATAAAAAAAAAACTGCTCGTTTCCTTTTGCTACTAAATAAATAAATATTTTAGAAGGTGATAAGCGAAGTACAGGGCAAATACCAGGTTGTACCAGGGACTTCCTTTCTAGGGTATACCTGGTTCCCCTGCTATTAGTATCCGAGACGGCGTGCGGTTTTAGTCGGTTCGAGTCCGACATGCCACCGACAGGTGGTATCCGAGGGGATTTCCGCACGGAAAAAAAAAGGGCAAATACCAGGTGTAGCGCTTAATAAGTGGCCATGTCACTGGCCAGGCCTTAAGGGTATTACCGTTCCATTAAAACTGATGGGAGAAAATGTCGTGGCAGCTACTCTGCTAATCTCTTTACTCTAATAATTAAACTCGTTGGCGACTAAATTCTATCGATATAATGACAAGATGTCTGAGTTCAGTTAAAATAGTGTTTTTTCCCGTCCGATTCCCAGCAATGAGGTATTAAGTTTATTATTAGGATTTGATTTATGTTATTATATCTGTGCACCGCGGGATAGACTTCATCACGATTTTTCACACCTCTGAATTTTACAATAAAAGTGCAGGGAAACTTGCTTCCTTATTCAATTTAGAAACGCTAGTGCACTTTACTATATCACCCTCTTTCAAATCGTAACCTGTTACTTGAGAGCATTGCTGAAGAAGATTAGGCGAACGTTCATGGTGGTGTTCGGGCACACCTTTTACGTAACTGTGCTCTAAGGTATTCAGTCGATCAGATAAATCTAGCATTATTGTTTTAAGAGCAGTATTCTCCTTCTACAACAATGCATTATTATTGATCAAAGTATCAACTTTTTTTTCATATCGTCGTGCAGCGAGATCAAGAAATCTATGGATCGACGTAAGACAAGCAGATCGTCCTTAATTGAGGATAATTCTGAGTGATGATCTACAAAAATAAAAACAATAGTCTTTCGTGACTGTTGACTGACTGACTAGTTGTAAATAAATTTCATGTGTTTTGACGAGATCAGAGCACAGAAGCATTATTTGATAAGTGACCACCTCCGTCCATGGACATCTACACCTTAAAGAACAAGTGCGCATCTAAACTATAAATCCCCCTCCCCCCTCCTAAATTAACGAGGGGAGGAGTTGGGCACTCGGTAACCTCATTTACTTGTTTAAAAACAACAGGAGAATTGTTAAGAACCATTGTTCTTTGTGAGGCCTTGGTACCACTCCGGTCAAGCCGATCCATTTGTTTCAAAGTATTTTAATTTAAAAATATGTTTTCACAAATCTTAACACCAGGGGTGTACAATGACGACCTTTATATATTTAAAACCGTAACAAAGACGCCACTTACAGTGCCGCTACACCTACGCTTTTCTCTAACACTTTATCGTTGCTTCAGCAGTGTATTTTGGCTTGTATGTTCCGTCATTCTTACAAGAACTTAACTCAAATTGTGCTAGAGCGAGTGGGATAAGTAGTAGAAAACTAGCTAGAATATGTAATTTAAAAAAAGTAAAAGCGATAGATATGAAAAAATCTCACGTGTTTCTTTCACTACAATGATGGACATACAGATTTGAGAGGAAAACCGGGCGTGAGATAATAACTGTGAAAAATTGGGTATTAAAAAACTCAACGCTGCTTATCCGATTTCAACCTCGTCTCCAGACTAACTAACTGGTCACGTATCAAACCAATCCGGTTTCATTTCCTCACACAAATACTTAGATCACGAAATGATACTAACTGAATTTGAAAATATTGAATACTCAAGTTGTTTTACCTTAGTAGTATGAATATCAAAATGTATGAATATCGACTGCACGGATGGCGTAGTGGTTTAAGCGGTCGCCACGCCGCTTCCTATTACGCCGAGTGTTGTGGGTTCAAACCCCACATGGAATAACACTTTGTGTGATCCACAAATTGTTGTTCTGAGTCTGGGTGTACTTTGTGTCCGTTTCATGTATGTTTGTAAAGTCCCCCGCGACACAGGATTTATTCCTAGTGCGGGAGTTGTCTTTTTAAAAAAAAAAAAAAAAAAAAAAAATATAGTATGTTTTTACTTTGTCGATATTTTATAAGAATTTGGTTATAAACTATATTTCGATTTGATTATTTTTTCAAGAAATATAGGTAATTGAATTTCACACAATTTTTATAGCGCATGTTATTTGTAACATGTGGCACAATAATTCTCGCCATCACCACCGACTTTGGAAGCCATCAGCATTCGTGCTCAAGCATCAAGCTCTGTTATTCTGGTTACGACACTTAGGGTAGGAACTGTGACCTTGCAAATGCGGGACAACCTCAGGGGAAGGACTAGATCCTTATAAACAGAAGGAGTGTTCCGGCCCCTTGAGCCTTAAAAGATAAAATACATTAAAACCCTTTTCTAAACTCTATAGAGCTCATAATAATATTTCTGAATAAGGATGTTAGGACGTCTTGAAGTATTTATACACATAGTGAAGATTATAAAGTAATGCAGGGGCGGGTCAACAACAACTGTCGAGCTTTTTAGATAAATTACAGTCAGATATTCTACAGGGACGACAATAAACAAATACTCTTTTGTGTGGAATAAATACATATATTTTACGGATGATAAAACTGTCTGCGTCAGATATATCTGGAATACTGTAGTTACTTTTGAAAGAAGTTACATTTTATCATCTAACAGTTTTGTATATTTCTTTGTAGGATAGAATAGATACTTATCCTTATTATCTATACAAGCCGTTGTAATTAGTAATTTTACAAGTAAAACGAATTCTTGTCTTTTAGTTTTGAAGACAAAAGATTAGCCAAGAGTTAAAACTTTCTTTATATTAAACTTCTACATGAACGTTATCATGTCATACTTGGAACGTTTGGACACCTTTTGTTTTGTTTTAATATT